TAGGTGCTATAAATGGTTGACGGCGACAGCTGATTTTTGCTGTATCGTGAAGTGTCAACATCTGTCAACCAAATATTGTTTACAAGCCTTTGAGTTTTGCACAACAAGTTTAATTTTTACTGCGTTGAAAATGTCGAGTTTCGTTCCAAATAAGCACCATTTGCGGGAAGTTTTGATTTTCTGTTCCAATTAGAAGAAAAGTGCAGCTGAAGCGCATCGAATGCTTGTGGAAGTTTACGGTGAATCTGCACCGTCGGATAAATCTTGCAGAGAATGGTTTCGACGATTTCAAAGTGGTGATTTTAGTGTTGAAGACAAAGAGCGTTCGGGTCAACCGAAAAAGTTTGAAGATGAAGAATTAGAAACATTAGATAGAGAATTAGAATGTCAAACGCAAAAAGAGCTCGCAAGAACATTGGAAGTTACTCAACAAGCTATTTCGAAACGACTCAAAGCCGCGGGATACATCCAAAAGCAAGGAAATTGGGTCCCATACGAATTGAAACCGAGAGATATCGAACGACGATTTTGCATGTCCGAAATGTTGCTTGAACGGTACAAAAAGAAGTCTTTTCTGCATCGAATCATTACCGGGGACGAAAAATGGATTCACTACGACAACCCTAAACGCAAAAAATCGTATGTAAAGCCCGGCCAACCGGGAACATCAACGCCGAAGCCGAATATCCATGATGCCAAGGTAATGCTCTGTATTTGGTGGGATCAGAAGGGTGTGATCCACTATGAGCTGCTAAAACCTGGTCAAACCATCACGGGAGACTTCTACAGGCGACAATTGATCCGTTTAAAGCGAGCTATAGCCGAAAAACGTCCAGAATATGCGACCAGACACGAGTCCATAATCTTTCACCATGACAACGCTCGGCCTCATGTTGCTGTTCCGGTTAAAAACTATTTGGAAAATAGCGGATGGGAAGTTCTGGCTCACCCGCCTTATAACCCAGACCTTGCCCCTTCCGACTACCATTTGTTTCGATCGATGCAGAACGCTTTGACTGGAATACACTTTACTTCAGAACAGGGTATCAAAAATTGGCTCGATTCATTCTTGGCTTCAAAAGATGAACGCTTCTTCCGCGACGGAATCCATAAATTGCCAGAAAGATGGGAAAAAGTAGTGGCTAACGATGGACAATACTTTCAATAATGTATTAATTCATTTTATCATTCAAATAAATGCGTTTTTCAAGCAAAAAAACGGACCGAATTAAGTTGTACACCCAATATATACTTTAATATATCATTTTCGTATCAAAATATTGTATATAATAATTTCACATAATAAAACTTGTTTGTAAAACTTATACATTATAAGTTTCTGTCATTTTGTCGCAATGTTGTGGATGGAATGCTATATAAAAGCAAGGGAAACATAACAAATTTTTGCACCAACTACACGCAATGAATGCATTATTTTGTGCACAAATACAACGCTGATTATGTATATTTAGTGGAAAACATATTTGATTCACATTATGAAAGATATTGCGATTTTCAACTAAATTTGAGGCATACCACGCATATTGCAACATAAACTTGAATACCGGTGCTGATAATATATAGTGCGTGAGCGATTGTATACGAATCGCATCAGCACGAGTATCCAAATTTATACTTTTGCTGCTTGCAAATAAAAATGAACAATCGTGTATCTGCTTGATAAGAATTTCCACCTGCCTATAAAAATAAACATCGCACGGGTGACAAATTGGTGTACATTTAGATGGTATTATTTGTAAATTACATGTCGGCTTATTGTCGTCATCGCGGAATATTTCGTTGTATGTTTGAATGTTCTTTTGTCCTCCCCAAGCATCAACAAGAAATAAAAACTTATTATTGCCAACGTACGGCTTAACAACCAATTTCAAATATTGTTGGTAGAGATGTGTTGTTAATTTCCCGAATTTGGAGCAGACAACAACGACATTCTTACATAATTGTAATAACGTATCTATCTCTTTCTGCACCCGTACTCCAAAACTGTCGGAATACTCTTGCAAGCAAACAAACACCTTATTTAATAGTTTGCCGGATTTTGTTAAGGAATACTGTACAGTATATGTATGGGATATTTTATTAAGATCGCCGATGTATAATTGCACCAATTTTTCACCAGTATGCGTGTAAGTTCGTGTTACATTAATTCTATATTCGCAGTCCATTTGGTCAGAATTTATTATGAAATCCGGATCGTAATCCGGTAACATAGCTTTAATTAAATATTGGAAGTGTATGGTGGATTCCATCACAGATTCTGGTGATACAATTTCTTTTTTTGATATATATCGAACAACTCGACGGCTAGAAATTTTATACTCGCGTATAAATGAGGTTAACCATGAATTTGATGCTACAAAACGGAAAGCATTACCATCTTTTGCGCTCTTCGTTCCTTTTCCGTTGTATTGAACGGCTTCAGTCATCGCCCACTGTTGAAGCAGACGTCGTGTAACGAGCTGTTTTTGTTTTCTTGCCTCCGTAAATCTGTCGTACACATTCCGTTTTATTATTTTCATCTTGTCCCAGAAAGTTCCGCCTGACAAAATGTAGTTACGGAATCGTGCAAGGTCACAATTATTACGCAAATGCTTTTTAAAACGTTTTTGTAATGAACGGAAGCTCCAATGCGGATGTTCATTAGCGAACAAAACTATCTTTAACTTCTCCTCATATGGCACTGGGTCGATTGCTGTAACTTTACGTGGAGGTTCGTAGTCTTCTTCCACACTTTGACTCGTATGAGGCTTGTTTGCAGGAGTAGCGTCGCCTTCAGGAGTAGTATCATTATCATTATCATTATCATTATCATTAGTAGCGTCTTCTTTAGCCACGTCATCTTGTCCTTCTGCTATATAATATTCTACTTCCTCCGATATGGCATGCTGTCCTAACAGTTTTAAAAATTTTTCAAATAATTTTCCGCCAATCAATTTGGCATTATTTGAAAATGTCTTTGACGCTTTATTATTAATAATATCAAATTGTATTAGGACATCTGCAAAAACGAATGCAGTATTATATTTAACATTATGTACAATGTGGATAACAACACATACACGTATCCTTCTATTATTCACACACACAATATATTTACCACGAAAATATTCTATCGCATCCGTCAACTCTGCTTTCGTAAAATCACATTTTGCAAGCATTTGTATATGGTTGATCGTTGTCTTATCTATAAACGCAGTTTCCATTTTTAACTTGTGAGTTTTGAACTGTTCACGTTCAGGGCTGTTAAAAGAGTGGAGTGAGCAAATTACAAAGCATGAGAATCCCTCTGCGAACACCTTTTTAAGTAAGCAAAAGGAGGGGATGGCATTCCCTTCCACTCTAAAAGCCCTTGCACAATGCCAGGCTATAGGCAATAGGAATAAGCATTAGCCAATAGGAACAGGGAATAGAAATAATTGACCAATTCGAATTCCTATTCCCTGTTCCTATTGTCTGTTGCCTGGCATTCTGCAAGGGCCTTTAAGATGCCTTTACATAGAAGCGTCGAGCGTCAAGCGTTGAGCACATGCATAGTAATATATAGTGTGTTGCTGAAACGCAAGATTAATTTAATTGCATACTGAACTGTCAATTGAATTTCGAGACATTCATCAGCAATTCAGAAAAAATTGCAAGACATTACAAAATGTCTATTAATTATTGGCATTATTTGTGATTATTAAAATGCAACAGCATTATCAGTATATTACAAACAAAACGAATATTACAAACAAAATGTGGAGTTAATTACATTAATATCATTAATTGTAAATGCAATATAAGCAAAACAAAAAAAAAGATTTTGGTGTTTGTACAAATATTCGCAGAAAGGAAGAGACACGAATTCTATTATGCAACATTGCCCTAATAGCATCAAGACGTTGAAATCTGAACGGTTTAGATTTCTGTGCAAGGATGTTGTGGACGGATTTCATGCTCGACACTCGAACGCTTCCATGTAATGGCATCTTAACATGGATGACCACGCTTTCTCTTACATAAGGCCAGATATTTCAAAAATCACGGCCGTGATTTGAGTATCTAGTTTGAGCGCAACACTGAGCGACCGTGATATATTTACGCGAACCAACTAGTTGGACATAATAGAATACAATAGATAGTAATAGAATTTCTATCGTTAGTTTTTTATAAAATACAAAATCGTGTATAACCAAATAAAATACGATAGAATTCATATCTGAACTTGCGAGCGAGAACGATATAGCTTAAAGAAAACGATTCAAATTTATAGCGCTATCAATTTGAATCGTTTTCTTTCTATTCCCATTTGTGAATTCATGAACCAAAATCCATATTTAAAACAATAGAAAACGACAGAACGATAGAATTTTATTCTATTGTTCTCTATAAACTTTTTTTACCAGGGAAAAGCAAACAATTTTTCTATTTGGAAAAATCGCCGCTCTCTACTGCGAAACAAGATATTAATTGACAAAGTTGATCACTATTGAAGTTAGGAAAACTGTCACACCGACGACAAACAGCGACATCCCATACAGCACAGATCTTGCAGCAACATTGCAGTAATATTGCGGCAACACTGCTGCAACTTTTAACATTGCTGCAAGATCTGTGCTGTATGGGATGTATATGCTCCGTAGCGCAAACAGTGCGCGAATTTGAAATATACTTGTACATGTATGAGTAATGAAACATTATTCAAACATTAGCATTATTTAAACATTTACCCCACAGACAAACTGATCCAGGGGATCCAGGGGACGAAGCTGGTCAAGGGGGGAGCTTCGACCCCCGGTTTGACAAAAATAACATTCTAAAAAAAAAGAAAAATGCATCTCGCATAGTGTGTCAAACATGTGTTGTTTTTGCGTGTGATTCATACATTCTACATTGTGTAGGGATCTCCCTGGTAAAAAAATTTATAGAGAACGATAATAAAAATGTATAAAGAATAAAAATAACCATTTTCTATCGTTTTGAATATGGATTTTGGTTCGTGAATTTACAAAATGTGAATAGTATTCTATCGTATACAATAGAATATAATTGATAGCGCTATTAATTTGAATCGTTTTCTTTAAGTTGTATCGTTTACGCTCGCAAGTTCAGATATGAATTCTATCGTATTTTATCTGGTTATACCAGATTTTTGTATTCTACAGAAAACTAACGATAGAAATTCTATCACTATCTATTATATTCTATTGTATACGATAGAATACTATTCACATTTTGTAAATTCACGAACCAAAATCCATATTCAAAACGATAGAAAATGGTTATTTTTATTCTATCGTTCTCTATAAATGTTTTTACTAGGGCTTGCTAATCTTTTCAGTATCTATTTTAGTATATAGTAGACTCATACATTTAGTAAGACTAAGATTTAGTAGAATATATTCCTTTGCGTAGGAGTCTTACTAATCTTTTCGGTATTAATGATTTTTAGTATATTGTAGACTCATTTATTTAGTAAGACGAAGATTTAATATATATATAAATATATTCATAGAAATATAAGCATTATAAATACACACATGTTTCACATTTGCGTACTTTTGCATGTTGTCACAGAGAATATATCTATTAAATCTTCGTCTTACTAAACAAATAAATCTACAACTTCCAAACGGTTCATCTACAATACAGTAAAAGTTATAAATATCGAAAAGATTAGCAACCCCTATACAAGTGAGAATGTTCTACTAAATTTTCGCCTTATTAAATGTATGAGTCTACTATAAACTAAAATGGATACTATATACTATATAATATATGGATACTATATATAAATGGATAAGTCTATTATATATTCAAATGGATGCTGAAAAAGTTAGCAAATATCCCTACGCAAGGTAGGACGTATGAATCGCATGTAAAAACAACACATGCTTAACACACTATACAAAATGCATTTTTCTTTTTTTTTAGAATGTTATTTTTGAAACCCCCCAAACTCCCCTTGATCGGAGGCTTTGCCCCCTGGACCTCCAGTTCGTCTGCAAATGTTTAAATAATGCTAATGTTTGAACAATGTTTCATTACCCATAAATATATAAATATATAAATATATTTTTTTTACTTAAAATATTGTTTTCGAATATAGTAAAGTATAATGTTAATTATACTGGGACGCTTATCAAATAACGAATAGTTTGAGAGAAAATAGCGTGAAAATATTAAAATAAAATATTAATACGAAAAGCTGTCAAAATGTCACTTATATTTTGACACATTCCCGCTTGCCGGATGAATCAACAGTTATGAGAAACTCCAATGAGAAATAACTTATCAATCGACGTCGATCAATAAGTCATTTCTCACTGGGACGATCAGCTAGAAACACGGTTGGTCGAAACTTTCTGGTGACTATTGATTTGGTGAATGGTATAGCATCAATGCAACTGAATATACAAATATAAATTGAACGCGCATATGAGAAAAAACTAAAGAAACTGTCGTTTCGCGACAGTTGCGAAATTGAACATTACTCTGACGCATGATAATTTCGCGATACATTTCGCGATATTGCAACATTAAACTTTATTCGACGATATTTAAGCAACTGTACTGGAAAATTGAACCGTCGAACGATACAGTGGTGTAAATTCTCTCTCACTAACAAGAAATATAATTATTAATGCGTATGTGTTTATTCATAATAAATTCAATTATTTATAAATTTTAAATATAAATTTGAAACAAAGTCGTATATTTTTTTTAAAGAGAAAAATATAAGTTGTACCACTTTTTCTCGTTTGCCCGTTCGTATATCTCTGCACATGAAAATATTAATATGCAAAAACTACAAAGTAGATCGCATTGATTTTCACGAGCTAAAACAATTCTGTTACCTCAAATTTTTGTCCCCATTTCTTTTCAATCACTAATTTATTAGGGAAGAGTCGCTCTCCTTGATGATTTATAATAAGTGAATGTAATTTTTTTGATAAATTTTAAATACTGATATTTTGATAGCAAAATATTTGATAGCAAATATTAAATAAAAATGTATAGGAAAATGCTATTATACATGCCTTCAAATCGATCGACCTGAACCGAATCCACCGATGCAACACTTGCACCCTTCACCGTCGACTCAAGCTGTGCCAGATCTGAAACAGAAAATAGATTGGTAAAACTCCAGATTAGGGGACACCTCGCCGATGACCTTGACCTTCATATCTGATAGAAATCATTCTCCTGAGTAAGGGCCATGGTACACAGAAAAACTTAAGTAGTAAGACGTAAGCAGTAAGCAAATTGATCAATCACAATCGTTGATTCTTGGACCGTAAGAAAAATCAACGACTGTGATTGGTCAATTTGTTTACTGTTTAAGTTTTTAATCTTACTGCTTAAGTTTTTCTGTGTGCCACTAGCCTAATGTTCTGAAAATTTAAGACGGGGGTCTTTATTTATTAAAAAGTTATTAACAAAAGAAGTTGACTATTTGGACTGTAGTTTTCCAATTGTATGTATATATATATTATACAGACATCTTATTAAATACACAAAGTATACGTGTATGTGCGGTTATATTACATTAATATAAGTAATATATACAAATAAATAAGGGATTCTGCTCTTCCCCCCACACCCTCTCCCCAAACAACTAACCCTAACCTAATCCATTTATTGAAATATTGTAAAACGTATACGTATATACGCAATCTATCCTTTATATTTTTATATATAATTTGTCAATAAAAAAAAAACAAAACTGCTTGCGATATATTTTGCATATAATGTACACTGAAATATCGCAAACAGTATCTGCATTTGTATTCTTATACAAATTCTTGTTCTTCATTGACAAATTATGTATAAAAATGTAAAAGATAGGAGCCCCTCCCCCGCGCATATACGTGTACTGTTTATCATATTTTCATATACACTGTGTGCAAAAATTAAAATATAAATTAGGGAAGAGTCTTACTGCTTAAGCATTAGTTACAAAATAGTTACAAAACAAATAAATATTTGTAACATGAAAAAAATTAGAGATACTCTAAATATTTATATAACTTTTATAAGTTTATTAAAAATTTTATGTATAAAATATTCATCCTGAAAAATTTAACTTATTTCCCTATTACTTGCGATAAAACCAGTAATATAACTGTTTGAATTAATTAATTTTATGACTTATCTAATTATTATTAAAAATGTTGGAAACAATACACTGACCGTTATACATTTATAAACAAAATTTTTTAATAACTTTTTCACAAACAATGAATATAACATCGTTATAAATACTTAAAAATTCATAATAAATAAATACATAATATATCACTAGCGACCGTCATGAACTGTAGTAGTAACTGAAAGGAATTATTGAAAATAAACAAAATATTTTTGTTATGTTACAAGACTGTACTTGTTATGAATATGTAACATTAATCAACATGAAATGTTGAAAATCTATACCGCATTTTTTAAATTTCTTTTGTTCATAACTTTTTAATGAAGAGAGACCGCCACCTAAAACTTTTTAAAGTTACTCAGGGACATGTCCTTGACAACATATGTGACAACATATGCTGATGTCAAGGTCATCGGCAAGATGTCCCTTAATCTGGAGTTTTATCAGTAGATTTTCTAATTAATTATAGAATATAAAAATATATGTAGAGTATATGAGGTTTACAAATACATTTTTTTTATTTTTATAAAAGGTAAACTGCAATTTTTATTCTTGACATTTGCGGATGTAAATGTCGATAAACTTACTTATGATAATTCTGTTATGTTCAAATTATCTTCCTGTGTTATCCCCTGGAATATCTGGCTACTTCTATTGTCAGCTTTGAAAGCTCTTCCAGCAGTGTAACGTCTGCCAGATCTGAAACAAAAAATTGTTTTCCTAATTAGTTATAAAACATGAAATTAATATATATATATATATATATATATATATATATATTTCTTTTAAAATTAGTAAAACCGGTGTCTGATAATCATCGTAACTAAACTAAAACTACCATCGTTTGCGACAATACCGAGCATTATAATCGCCAGCGCAAAATGTTAAAATTAATTTTATAAAAATTTTAGAGAGAGTATGAAAACATCGAGTAACGTCAACTGGTGTGTCTATCTTTGTATTTATGATTATGATGATATGACACAAACCATACGCTTTCATGTTGTCCCGAAAGTTGCGTGACTTTTGGCGAGTCATTACATTGATATAACATATTTATCGCACTAGTATCAATATTATATATTATATTATCGATATTATGTTACTTTGAAATATTTAATTGCTAAATGCTCGTCTCAATAACATTCAGCGAATTTGGGTACATCATAGAGATATACTAATTATTAAGTTCTATATATTAATTATTAATTTGTAACTCTGGGGAATACGCGATTTTCCATTTGTATATCAATTAAATATTCAATATACACGCGTTTCTCTAATTAGTTATAGAATAGATAAATATTCTAACATTCTAATTAAATATTCAATATACGCACGTTTCTCTAATTAGATATAGGATAGATAAATATCCGTAATATAAAATTAAATATTCAATATACACTCGTTTCTCTAATTAGTTACAAAATAGTTACAAAACAAATAAATATTTGTAACATGAAAACAATTAGGGATACTCTATAAATATTTATAACTTTTTTAAGTTTATTAAAAATTTTATGTATAAAATATTCATCATGGAAAATTTAACTTGTTTCCCTATTGTTTGCGATAAAACCAGTAATATAACTGCACGAGTTAATTAATCTTATGACTTATCTAATTATTATTAAAAATGTTGGAAACAGTATGCTGACCGTTATACTCACTACTGAGGAAAAAAGACTTGAAAATTTTATTTGTGTGATATAAAGTTTATTTCTGCAATATAAAGTTAATTTCTGTAAAATAAAGTTTATTTCTTAATAAACTTTTATCCGACACACACACACAAATAAATAAATTTTTAAGTATTTTTTTTCAGTGTAAGACTGATATAACGCAGTATATAATCTCAGACAGCACAATGTCTAAAAGGATATAAGACGTCTTTAAGTTGTCTTTAAGACAAGTTTATAAAATATTGTCTTAAAGATGTCTTAAAGTTACCTTAAAGACTTGATTTGACATCGATTTTGGACACTTGTGCCATCTGGGATGAGTTGCAAACTTGGATGCAATGAAATTGGGAGCTCAAATTATCAATATTGAGAATCATTATTGACAGACTAATGCAATAATAATATAATTGATAATATAATTTAGAACACTAAATATCCAGATAGCACAAAATCTTCAAAAAACGTTATGTATGAATGTTCTTACCCAGACAGCACATAGATGTTTAAAAGTTGACTAAAATTTGGCAGAATTTCCATATGGACGTCCTTTTGGTAGAGCGTATAGTCGACGAAAAGATGACTAAATGACGTCTATGGCCCCAAAAAAGTCCCACAATATCCCTATCTTATATTTGAAACCTATAAGACAACTAATATTATTGTAGCTTAGTTTCGTAACCTATAAGATGACTAATATCAGACAAGTTTTAGTAGTCTTTTAAATTTATTGTTTAGACATATTTTCATGTTTTATATATTTCTTATAAATTATTTTGTTTCACAGACAGAAAGGATTATATAAAATTTAAAAGCAATGTCACAATTATATTGTTTATTATGTTGTCTGAATACATTTAATAATAAATGTCATAAAACATAAAATAAACATCAGTAATTATTCACCCAGACAGCATAATGTCCAAAATCGAGTCATAAGAAGTCTTTAAGACATCTTTAAGACAAGTTTATAAAGTATTATCTTAAAGATGTTTTAAAGACGTCCTAAAGACGTCTTATGACTCGATTTTTGATATTTGTGCTGTCTGGCAGTTTAGACCCCTCATCTCCGATTTCGATGAAAGTAGGCTCAATCGACGTGTTTTTGCACGAGAAACAACTTTTTTATCTAACAAAATCGTCGCTCTCTACTGCGAAGCAAAATATTAGCCAACAAAGTTGACCACTATTAAGGTTAGGAAAACTCACTCACTCACTCTCTCTCTCTCTCTCTCTCTCTCTCTCTCTCTCTCTCTCTCTCTCTCTCTCT